CTCTTTTCACAGTTCTCGTTCAACTCAAACTTAACGTTTTTCTTTGTGAGCCGAGTCAAAGGAACAGTTAGGCTAGAAAATTCTTCTATAAACCTGTGGTAATAACCTATCATTCAAAGAAAGTTACGAATCTCCTTGAACAATGTCAATTTATCCTAACCGAGCACTGCCTCAATTTTTTTGGAGTTCACTGATGCTTCATTCCTTGATACGATGTGCCCTAAGAAGGTAGTATGCTCGAGTCAGAATCCACACTTACTCAATTTTGCATACAACTTCTTTTCTTTAAGAACCTGCAAACCTGAGTCAGATGGTAAGCGTGTTCCTCTCTGCTTTTTGAATATATCAAGATATCATCGATAAATATAATGACGAACTGATTCAAGAATTTTCTGAAAATCCTATTCATTAAATCTATAAAGATGGCTGGTGCGTTGGTTATGTATATAAAACATTCAAGCTACTAACCCATGCAGAAAATGAGAAGTAAGCAAACAAATGAGACAATTCTTGGATAAACCATGTTTCCTTGGAATTTTTTGCTCTGTGTTTTTGTTTCTCTTTTTTAGTATGATGTAGAAGTGTGAAGGAAATTGTCTTATATTTATATTACTTGTAAAAATCAAAATAAGACTACTAGTAAATATTTTTTTTTTCTTTAATTGTTTAATTTAATTGAGTATTTTTTATAAAGAACAGTTTCATGTAACATGGGTATAACAATAGTTAAGATCTTCCCCACTGACTGTGTTTAGATCAACTATACAAATTAAATTTAAATAGGTAATACACTATTTGGGAATTTTTTTATTTTAAAATCTTTTTTTCAAGAAAATAAAACCATTCATCTCATTAAATATTATTTCTTCGTATCAACGACTACACGATAAATAAATATTATATCAGCAATTACATGATAGTTACGAAACAGTTAATAATGATATTAAAAAAAAAAATTGAAGTAACATCCACATTGATAGCATATTATGTTATATATAAACAAAATTTATCGTAATTTTAATACCATTTAGATTATATAATTGGACATCAATAAATAATTCACTTTGACAAAAATAAAAATTATTTAGAATAGAAAAAATATATATGCTCAAGAATATAGTTCTTCTTTTATTTTGGTTTACCAAAATTGTTCTCAAGAATTGTCTTTTCAAAACAAAAATCTTATGCATGTATGAATCTTTTTTATTTTTAATTTCAGTCCAACGACTAAAATTTATCAAGCTCATGCTTAATATGACATGTATAGGCTTCACCAGAAAACAAACTAAAACAATGTGTTAAAAGGATCAAATGTAGCTCATAACTCATTTACAGCACCAAGGAAGACAAGCAAAACAAAATAGCATAGAGAAGTATCATCTGTATATGCATCATCAGGCAACATAGACATCCACGTTAAAGCTACACCATCAAGAATTT